CTCTTCTTTAAAGCTCAGTAATATACCATTGAGTATATATACTACATTATCTTTATCCATTCATCTGTTGAGGGATGAAACACCATATCCTTTTTTTAATTGTATAAATATTTTCACTTTATTCTATAAGACTAGAAATTACAGATATTCAGTACATCTACTTATATTACCATAGTTTTAAAATTAGTATAAACATAAACAAAAAAATTGAAAAATCAAATACATATGGTAGGCATAGAATTTGAAAGTTAACCAACTCTTGCTTTGTAAACCTGTTCTTGCAAATCTTAAGTGTGCCACTTCTGTTTTGCTTCATTAAACAAAGGTGTATTAATCTCTTGCACAGAATGATAAATTCTGAGAATGAAGGAAAAAGCACGGACTGAATTTTTAGGAAATTCATAGCTTTAAAACATTTTTAATAGGACAATCACACATACATTTACAGGTACACAGTACTTCATGGGACACCTGGATGTGTTTCATTGTGATCCTACATAGGAGGATATGATATTTAAAAATATCTGTGCAAGTATTATTAGAAATGAAAGTAAATGTGCATAAAATTCTTTATTTCACTATTTTGTAACACTTTATTTACTGGTACTACAGTAATCAGTGTCATGTATAAGAATATTTATGGAAATAGGTCCAGATCTTTGATCCCAAGGATGAATAATATACAGGAATGTGAGCACACTGTTTTCAGCCCTATTCGAATTATTGTGTAAGATGGACAAGTTGGTTAAATATTGTCTTCAAAGAACTTCCAATTTGGTAGGTAGAAAAAATTTATGGACAGTTCAAACACCCATAATATGAGGCAATATGTAAGGCAATACATAAATCAAGTTAGTGCAATAGAGTTATTGCATTAAAGTTAATACAGGAAATAATTTCGAGTGGTCCTACTAATCTTTGTCTTATGTGAATTGAGGAAGTAAGAGTTACCTTGACATTTGTCCACCTCCTGTATTGTTTTGTTGTTGTTGTTGTTCTGGAGATGGGATCTCACTAGGTTGCCCAGGCTGGCCTTGAACATTGGGTTCAAGCAATACTTTTCCTCAGCTTGCCAAGTAGCTCGTATTTCAGGCACACTCCTCTTGTTCCGCTGTTTTTTTTTTTTCTTTTTTAAAAATTATTTTTTAGTTATATATAACATTAGGATAGATTTTGACCCAATCACAAAAGCATGGTATAATCTGCTCTAATTCAGTCTCCAGCAGTTCCCTCCTCCTCCTTCATACCATCCTGTGCACTCGTCCCTGTATTCTGCTGATCTTCTGTAATATATTTATAGGTTTTTGTTTTTTTTTGATTAGTGTCTTGTGGATATACATGATGTTGGAATCCACTATGCTATATTCATGCATACACATATGAAATTGTGGTCAGTTTCTTTCCACTGTTCTTCCCTTTTCCCATTCCTCCTTCTTCTCTCCTCAATGTTTTTCATCTATTCTGTTATCTATCCTCTATTTTGATGAAATTCCCTCTCCTTTTTTCCTCTTTCTCTCTCTTTCTTTTATCTGCTCTCTTATTTTTCATTATCTTCGCTATCAAAGAAAACATTCTACCTTTGACTTATTTATTGTCTGACTTATTTCACTTAGCATGATAGTTTCCAGTTCCATCCACTTACTGGCAAATGCCATAATTTTATTCTTCTTTACAGCTGAGTTATGCTTCATTGTGTATATATGCCACATTTTTAATCCATTCATCTGTTCAAGGGCACTTGGGTTGGCTCCATAGGTTGGCTATTGTAAATTGTGCTACTATTGATGTGGTTGCATCACTGCAGCATGCTGATTTTAAATATATATATATATATATATACACACACACTGAAGAGTGGTAAAATTGGATCCTATGGTGGTTTCATTCCTAGTTTTTGAAGAATTTCTAAATATGGATCTTATCATCAGCAAGCATAAAAAAATTAGTCTCTTCTTTTCCTATTTGTATCCCTTTAATTTTCTTCTCTTCCCTGATTGCTTTTGCTAGGGTTTCAAGGACTATGTGGTGTAGGAGTGGGGAAAGTGGGCATCCTTGCCTTGGTCCTGTTTTTAGAGTAAATGCTTTAAGTTTTTCTCCATTCAGAATAATGCTGGCCTGGGGCAACGTTGAAGAAAGTTCCTTCCATTCCTAATTTTTTTAAGTGTTTTCCATCCTTTCAACTTCAGTCTGTGGATGTCTTTGGGTGCTGTGCTTTGTTTAATGCTTTTACTGCATCTATTGATATAACCATGTGATTATCGGCCTTAACTATTTATGTGGTGAATTATAATTATTGATTTCTGTATGTCAAACCAAATTTTGTATGTGATTTGCCAATATTTTATTAATATTTTTGCATCTGTGTTTATTGTGAATATTTTGTTTCCTTGATGTGTCTTTGTCTGGTTTTAATAACAGGGTGAAACAGGCTTTGTACAATGAGTTTGGCAGAGTTCTTTTTTTTTTTTTCTTTTTTTCCATTTTATATTATAATTTGAGGTTTGGTATTAGTTCTTCTTTAAAGGCCTTGTAGAAGTTGGCTGAGGATTTGTCCATTCTGGGGGGTTTCTGTGTTGGAAGACTTTTGATAATTCTTTCAATTTCATTACTTGATATTTTTTGTATCTTCATGTTTCAATTTGAGTAGGTCATATGTTTCTAAGAATTTGTCAGTATCCTGAAGATTTTCTAGCTTATTGAAGTATAAGTTTTTAAAATACTCTCTGATGACTCTCTGGATTTCAGTACAATCTGTGGTGATATTTCCTTTTTCATTGCTAATTTTGTTAATTTGAGAGTTCTCTCTTTCTCTTTTGGTTAGTTTGGCTAAGTTTATCAATATTGCAAAGAATTTATCAAAGTTCTTTCAAAAAAGTAACTATGTTTCATTCACCTTTTGTACTTTTTTATTATCAGTTTTATTGATTTTGTCTCTGAATCTAAGTTTTCCCTATCTTCTACTGATTTTGGTGTTGGTTTGTTTTTCTTTTTCTAGCATCTTGAGATGTAATGTTAGATTGGTATCTTTCTATTCTTTTAATGTGTGAATTCAATGCTATAAACTTTCCTCTGAGAACTAACTTTATACTTTCCAAGATATTTTGATATGTTGTATCATTATTCTCATTTACTTCTAAGATTATTTTTATTTCTCTCCTGATTTCTTCTGATATCCATTCATCATTCAAAAGTGTAAAAAATATAAAAGTAGAAAATTAATATACTATAATGGTCATCTTTGTACTTTAAATAAACTTTTAATCCTTTCTGAAAAAATAAAAACCAATGATAGGAATTTATCATTAATCTAGGCCGATTAAACTAAATCTTTCAAGCAATTGGTATGTTACAGTCACCCAGAATTATTGTATTGTGGTATATTTGATTCTTAATATTGAGGAACATTCATTTTACATATGAGGATAGACCATTGTTTGGGGCAAAAATAATATTTTCAATCATATATCTTGTTTTTGTATGATTCCTTAAAGCAGTCTGAAGTGATTTTTTGTTTTTAATATCTCTTTTGTTTAATTCTGTCTTGAAGTTCACTTTATAATGAAAAAATAGCTATCCTGCTCGTACCATTTGCATGTTATGTTTTTTTCCATCCTTTCAACTTCAGTCTGTGGAGGTCTTTAAGTGTGAGGTGAACATCTTACAGACATTATATTATTAGTTCTTGCTTTATATTCAACCTATGTCTTTTATTTGAAAAGGCTAGACTATTTACATTCAATGTTATCATAGATGATTTTATTTCCTCCCATTTTGATTTATTTCTAATGTTTAAATCAGACTTGATTCTCTAATTGACTATTCTTCTAAAGTAATTCCTCCTTATATTTGTTCCATTTCTATTTTTATTTCTTCATGAATTATTTTATCAAGTATGTTTTTTAGTGCAGGCTTTCTTGTTACAAATTCTTTTTTAAAAAAATTTATCCTCAGTTGTGAAGCTTAATTTTGTTAGGTAGAGCATTTGGGGTTAGTATCTATATTCTTTAATTGGTATATATTATTTTAAGCCCTCCTGGCTTTAATTTCAGGGTTGAGAAATCAGCTGAAATCCAGATTTCGGAAATCTATAAGTTTGACCAGCTATTTTTCTTTTGCACCTTTTAAAATTATCCATATTCTGTATGTTGGGCATTTTTATTATAATGTGTCTTGGAGTGGATCTATTTTGATTTTGTACATTTGGAGTCCTATATGCCTCTTGTATTTGAATTTCCATCTCATTCTTATGTTTGAAAATCATTCTGATATTACTTTATTGAAAGACTGTACATGTCTTTATATTGTGTTTCAGAGCCTTCATCTACCCCATGGATCTTAAATTGGCTTCTTGATGTTATCCCAGATTTCTTGAATATTCTAGTGATGGTCTCTAACATCTTTTCTTTATGGTTAACATTATTTTCAAGGTTATATATTTTGTCTTCAATGCCTGAAAACTCTGTCTTCGAAGTAGTCTAACCTACTGGTAGTGGTTCCCGTTGAATTTTTAATTTGGTTTTTGAGTCTTTCATTTCGAGCATTTTTGTTTGGTTCTTTTTTAGAATTCTCTATCTCTTTTTTGAAGACCTCTTTAACTTCCTACATTTTCTCCCCAATTTCACTCCTTACATCTTCTTTCAGCTCATAGAACATTTTAATATGAACTTTTTAATTTTTTTTCTCTGACATTTTATCCACTGTGTTATTGATGGAGTCAGATATTGAAGCATTATGGGCTATTTGGGATAGATTTTTCCCTTTTTTTTTTTTCATATTGTTTGTATGTCTGTCTATCTATTGGGATATTTATCATTTCTTCTTTGAATCAAGAGACTACTTTATGAGCTTCTTAAAGGCCTGGGTTGGGTAAATATCCAGATATTGATACTTTAAGTCAATATGTGAACTCTGCAGATTCCAATATTAGCACCACTTTGAGAGATGCCACAGAACCCTATTTAGTATAATTACTTCAGAACCAAGGCTTGTACTGTTAAAACTTATGAAAAATGAAAATCTTGACATTATTCTCCAGAGTTCCACAAATCCAGGTTTAAATTGAAGTGAAGATCTGGAATAGATCAAAAATAAATTATTAAATTTATTAAATTGCTATAACCATAAATGAGGGTTAAAAGTGGGAAAGAAAAATGATTGGGCAAAAAGGAGATAGAGAGAGAGAAGATGAAAAGAAATAATATATTCCAATGTAGAGAGGAGAAATAGATGGATGTTGGGTATTTGAAGCAGTATCAGATAATGCAAGAGGTTGAATAGGTGATAAGAAGAGCCAGTATTAATCAGAGCAAGTAAAACAAAGATAGAAAGATTGATTCCACTTACTGCTTTAAACCATTAGATAAAATACATTCAAATGAGTTGAAACTACTACGTTTGGCTATTAGAGTAGCTACAATCAATCGAGTTAGAGTGATTTAGATGATTGAAGTTGACATTAGAATTATTTATAGAAAACCATTCCATGGTGAAGAAAATTCTTGGTTAATCTGGGTTTGCATTTCACTTGGGTTCAGACATTTTGCAGATGTCTATCATTCTTTGGCTATACATTCCTGCAGAGTTGCTAGAGCACATAAGCCATTTCCCAAATTGCTATGGACTTCCTACCAGCCAATTCTAGCATCTCAGCTCAGGGATCTGTAGCTGACTGCTGGGATGGTGGAGTGTTATGGCTTGGTTGTTTCTATTGTGTGAAGAATGTAATCTCTGGAATGTCCTTGTGATTGTTGTGGGTCACTGTGTACCTGATCCCCTCTACAGTGTCCTTTTCATGATAGTGCAGATCCTGGTTGCAGCCTGTGAGCACAAGATCTCTGGTTGTGGATTTTCCATGGGTGTTCTTCAGTTGTAGCATTCTCCCACCAGACAACACTCTTTTGGGTATTGTAGTGAAGAAACTCAGGAAATTCACCTGGGGTCTAGTTCCCCTGCCTCAGGTTGTGAATGGTGGGTGCTGATTCCCTCTGTTGACTCTGACTGATGTAAGGTCCAGCCATTGTCCAAATAATGCCCTTTCATTTGACAGTTGTGACCATGGATCAAAATGGGAGCAAGTAAGGCTGGAGGCAGGATTAGGCCAGGAGCACTCACTCCCTGATGTCCTGTAATTTTCTACCTTAACTGACCCTCCTTTGTTGTTTGTGGATGGCTTATGCTTAAGTTTCCTGAGGCATTCAAGGAATTTCTCCTAGCAGCTTTCTGCTCATGCCGCCACCATCTGGGAAATAGATCCCTATGTCACTGGATATTCAGGCAGCTTCCCTCCAGCACAGCTTTGTGATCAAGGGGACAGTTCCTATCCCTAGGCTTACCACAGTGGTGCTTTCCCCCAAAGTCAGTGATTAGGGCTAGTCTGGTCCTGATGGATCCTCTTTCCTCCACTTGGAGCAAAAGTTGCTTTGCTGTTCTCTCAGAGTCTAGGTACCACGAAAGCTGCACAGAACTTCCCACATTTACCTGAGTTACAGAGACTTAGCAGGGTGCTGGGTTAGGGGCACATCCCAGTACATGTCTACTCCATCCCCTCCCCCAACATTTGTTGTAATGTGGGATGGGTATCAGTAATTTTCAGCTAGTAGTGATCCTACTAGAAGTTCTTTCTAGCCAGATTCTCAAGGTCCACTGCAGTGGTCTTCCCTCTAGTTAATCTGCAGCTATATGGGCATGGTAAGAAAATTTAAGAGTAACTAGTTGGCTGGGGGCTGCACAGAATGGTTGCAGACCCCCAGCTCAGCTTTCTTTTTATGATTTGGTTTTAACTTCATCTGCTTCAAGAACCCTGCTATTCCTATGATGATTTAAAATTTGCCCTTCAAATGTTTTACAATGGGTGAACTTAAGAGATTTTTCTACTTCTCCTTCATCTCTCTGTTGTCCCATCTCCCTTTTTGCACCCTGGTCCACTTTCAGGGTTAGGAAACTCTGTACTTATTTTATACTCTGGTAAGTAACTGATCTTCAAGTCTGTCTAGGTCTCAGACTTTTTAATATTGAGTCTCAGAGCATTATTTTGTCACCAACTTCTCAGTTCTGCTTTTCCTTACTGCCTCCATTCTGTGTTGTGAGGAGATACGGACTTGCTGAGTAACTCATTATCACCATCTTTTCTACCACCAAACCCCATGTCTTAACATATGAAATAACTTGTATATAGATAAAGGGAATTAATTTATACTGTCATATTTGGAGATTATCTACCACATTAGAAAAGTCAAATTGTTCAGCAGTCCTTAGTGGACTTTAACTTTTCTTATATTTGTGAAAGGAGAGCTGGAAAATGTGATTCTATTGAGTTCATTTGCCAACTCAGAGAAAAGGAAGTATTTTAATAAGAAAGAAGGGAACAGATATTCGGTAGCAATCTGGCAATTTTAATTTGTTATATGTTATTTGTAGTCTGTACACTGTATTATTATTGCTTAATATTCTTTATATACCTTTTTTCAACTGAAGTAATATACTTAGCTTTGTTCCAATAGAGATATCCCAAATTCACTTCTAGTGATGGTACCTGTGTTAGGATTCTCTAGAGGAACAGAATCAACAGAAAGCATGATTCTAAAGAGGGTATTTATTAGATTGGATTATATAACCAGAAGCTGGATAGTCCACAATGGCTGTCTGTAGCCTGGAGAGCTGGAAGAATGAGTAGCTGCACAGTCCAAGAAGTTGAAGCCTCAGAACAAGAGGGATGTAAGGTGCTACCTTAGTCCAAGACCGAATGCTTCTGGAAACTCCGTGGAGAATCACTGGCAGAGTCGACTTTGGAAGAGTGAAGAAGTGAGAGTCTAATATCCTCAGGTAGTCTCAGCAGCAATCAAACCCTGTTCTAAAAGAATTGAACTTGCATCTGTGGCTGCTTCCTTGTTCTTCCAACTTTCATTCAATCGAGGACACCATCCTATTCAACACTGCTGCCCACCCTTAAGGAGGGTCACCACATCAGTTTGCTATCCCATGTGCCAATCATTTCTAGACACACCCTCATTGACACACCCAGAAGCCTCTTAATCATAGGCATCTCTTAAGCCAATCAAGTTCACAATTCAAATTAATAATTACAATAACCAATTAAAATTTGAAGTGTGTAATCTTAGTAATGTGTAATCTCTCCAATAAAACCATTTGTAGATTCTGGTTGTGTGCATCTTTCCTACCAAAATAATAAATTACATATACCCAAAATATATACAATGTTAGAGAAGAAATAGATTAGCTATTATAAAAACCTCCATATAAGGGGGCTGGGGTTGTGGCTCAGTGGTAGAGCGTGCGCCTCACATGTGCAAGACTCTGGGTTCGATCCTCAGCACCACATAAAAATAAGTAAGTGAAATAAAAGTATTGTGTCCAACTATAGCTAAAAAATAAATATTAAAAAAACACATACAGGAAATGATAGGACGGAGAAAATAAAATAGTTAGAATGTAGAAAATAAAAAGTATCTGAATAATTCTCACATCCTACCAACCAGGAATGACAAAGACTAGGGGCACTAAGCTTACAGTCAGACAATCTTTTGCTGCCTTTCTCAGTTTCTCAGAACCTGATAATCCATTCTTTCTTTTGAAAAAATACTGGCTGTGATTGTGTGTGGCAGGAGCTTGGGGGTTGTTTTGTAGCATTTTTAGTGTAGCGGTGACATCACACCAGTTTGCAGTCCACAATGGGTAATTGATCAACACACACTTCTGTTAGAACACTGGAAGATTACATTTATGCACCCAGGGTCCTGCAAGTGTAACTGTAACTAAAGATTTTATCTAGTCAAAGTTTTAACCTGGAATATTCTCTTTATTGACTGGAATATTCTCTTTGTTACACTCTGCTCACTTCCCATCCCTTAGCTTAATGGTCAGTGGCTTAGGGAATTTGAAAATAATATTCTTGGGAGGAAGCCAAACCCTTACTGTCATTTCTTCCCTGAGAGTGTCTACATTTTCCTGGCTGCATACCAGTTTATCTCTTGCTGAGGTTTCTGCTTTGGTATCCTTGCAATGATTTCTATTTAGAGTACAAAAAGTGCTTTTAATTTTTAATTTTTTAATGCTCCAAAATTATAGGATTCTCTGGCAATATAGATGTCAGATTGTGGACAGAAAATACTTCTCTTGCCAAAATGGCATTTCCCCCATCTGTGTTATAAGGCTATTTACTTCTCTCTAGGGATCATCTTGTTCTTATAAAACTTTATCTAAAGGTGTAAATAAGAGCCAGCACCACCCAACATTCTCATCAGTTCCTACTCTTTCCAGCACTACAGCTTCAATCAGCTTATAACTTTCTTTAAAAGGTATTTCAGGTGAAAATTTAATCCAAATGTATTCTACTTACTATAAAGTTTGCTTAAAAATTTGGTGTTTAGTATTTGAAACCTGAATTTTCACTTTCTTCATTTATCTAGTTCCACACTTCAGTTTTTGCTATTTGAAAGAATCTATTTCTTGTAGCAACTGTGGAATCAATCAAAGAGCTTAGGTCCAACAACAATACACTTTAACTAATTTCAGCTCATAAAATCCTCAGAATGGTCAGAGGGGGAAAAAGTGGTTCAAATGGAAAAAAAGAAATGTTGTCACACTTGTCACTTAATGCTTATAACTTCAGAAACTTGAAACCAGAAGCTGTTACCAATTGCCTCAGAAAATAATCCCATGTGATTAGGTATGCTACATGATCAGAACTCCTGGCCCAGAGGCTGCCTCATTTCTGCTTTGTACTGAAAAGTTTTCTGGGGGCCAGATTTTAGCTTACAGTCTTTATATTTTTTTCTTAAATCAACTTTATTGAGCCACAATTTACATACCTAATGGTAAAATGCACCTATTAAAAATGTACAGCCTTGAGTTTGGGCATTCACACACATTGATGTCACCACTAGCACAAGGAAGATAAGAACATTACAATCACCACCAAAGAAAAGTTATGCAATAAAATTCTTTCAGCTATCAAAAGGAACAAAATAGACTGTAAAAAGAGATGCCCAACATACTTTGAGGCTTTTTTAAAAATAATATATGTATATTTTTTAAAGTTCTAAAATTTATTTA